TCCAAACACTAATCTTCCCGATTACTGCTTATACTCTTATTACCTCTACCACTACGGGATTTGAATTGACCACTGCATCTCTGTGCTAATGTGGTGTGGCAACTCGAACTGATGTACGTACGTACGAAGTTCTACGTTGTTACTGACTGACTGACTGTTTCAGAGTAGCTATAGCCTTTTGAACTTCAGCTAGAGTCGGGGGCCTACTTCAATGTTCCATTCAGGCTGTCTGGAAATGGTGTATAGTTGTGGAGAAGCTGAAGGCCGGTTAAACTCTCCTCTAAAGTGTTCCGTTAATCGTTCTAAACGTCAAGACTAACAACCTTGATGTTACGAAATCAGTTATCAATTCCCTATAAGCTTTGACTCAATTGATAGTGTTCGACTAATGTTCCTCCACAATGTTTATATAATTAATTAGTTTTGTAAAATTATCCAGCTTGAACACACAAAATAACCCAACAACAACAACAATCTAACTTTCAACTTACAAATCTTCATCAGCATGTTCATAATATTAACTAACATCTATATTTCTCATTAAAATTTTCAATCATCATAATATGTTACAATTCCGATCACGTTTTATACTTCACATATAAGTCAATTGGTTCTTTTATATTCATTAATGATGAATCGATTTATTTTTTTTATTGCCAAAAGAAATAATCAATACCATTCAAGGTCACCAATAGATAATCATAAACAATTATTTATTTATAGAATTAATAATAATAATAACATGGGGTTTTTCTTCTTTTTTTTGTTTTGTTTATCCATTATATTGATTAGTCGCTACTGTTACATTCCTCTTTGTTTTGTTTTGTATTCGAATAAATACTTACCGTTTTCTATATACACTTGTTTAACTCTTCCCATTGATGTTTAGCCCTTCAGTCAGTTAGTCAGTCAGTAACAACATAGAACTTTGTACGTACATACATCAGTTCGAGTTGCTATACCACATTAGCACAGAGATGCAGTGGTCAATTCAAATCCCATAGTGGTAGATGTAATAAGAGTATAAGCAGTAATCGGAAAGATTAGGGTTTGAAAATGTTATTGAAGGAATATAATCCAGTGAAATAAATTTGGAAGGAGAAAAAAGAAAAGGACATGAAGAATTCAGACGATTAGAATTTGGAAAAACACAAGGAGTGAATGCACCTGCACCATAGCAAACAATTTTGAATCATGTCATTCAGAGTCTCTAACCATCGGTTGCTATCATCTCGCGGTCCCCAACCATGTAGTCTACATCTACCAACATGGCTCAGTCCACTCGTCAGTGACTGCATGGATTTGTGTCATGTTTTGTTCTGGCCGCTCCTAGCTTTTATTCAACCTCCTTCTATAGCATTGAGCATCCAAAAGAATGTCTAGTCCGACGACAGCTTGTAGTAGTAGTGGTGATAGGATGACTATCATCAGTATCTTTAAATTTGTACGTTCTACCTCGAGGAGTGGATCTTGGGAATGAGCCTACTGTATTCAGAGTTGACATAGGTTGAACATCGTTTTGTAGAAATGGTTTCATAGTAGAGATAGGGGGAGTTGTAGTAACTTGTGCTGGATTTAGACAGTCTGTATTTATCTGGGTTGTTGCTGTAGACAATCGAGAGCGATTGCTTTTTGCATTCGGAGTACACTTGGGCATCACATTAAAAATGTTTTTACGAGGGGTTTAGCCCTCGAATGCCGTTGTACAACCGAGAGTTAGCTTTCCCTCTTGAAATGCTCTCATATGGCCACATGCATACAACCACTGATAGGGAAGTTTTACTCACTGCCTTCTCACAAAAGGGTTGCTGTTTACGAAATTGAGAGGACGAAAATCGATTGTCCGGCACTTTAACCGGGTTGGTGGACATGCAGAGTCCACATAGGGGAGTTGGAAAACCCTGATTCCAAACCAATGGTGCATATAGGCTACAGGAATCTAAGGGGACAAATGATGTATGAACCTATTGTTGGTCATTGGCTACCGTGGGACTACATCTCTTTGTGGATTAAACATCTAGGTCAAAAGTTCGAAAAGTAGCTTCCTAAGAAAATCACCTACTTCGGTTTAGGCACCCGCAAAGTATTCCAGCTCTCACACAAATCGAATGATGAAGTGTGGTGCATATCTATATAGTGCCTCCGTTTACCAATGTTTATGTTTTTAAATAAACAATAACTGCAATTGATTCATCTCTTATCATTTTTTTAATTTAAAGAAACATTGATTCATGTATTGATATAAGTGGATCATCACTTTAATCAATCTGAAAACTTGAAAGAATTCTAAAATAGTGAAAACATTCTAATTTTAGTCTCTCTCCCCTCAAATTAATATGACATTAGTTACAATTTAGTTGTCATCCAATATTGAAGAGTGTACTAGGTAGTCACATGGTTACTACTCATCTTAATTCATTCATATATATCTACTACACATAATCACTTACTGGTATTTTTTTCACAGTGATAAGAATGACTGATTGTTGTGGATGCGAAGGATAGACCAATAATTATCATGTTAAGTCCAATGGTGTCCTTGGACTTTAAATAGACATTCCTACTGGTCGATATCTGTCCACTTGTTGAATATTGTACAAAATGTTTTCTATTTTTTTATGGTACGATGTGGTATGTTTGGTTAGTATATAAATAGAGTATGTCTGAAATACAATGATTCATAACTCAGAGGCTGAGATTTATGTTCTGGACTTAACTGGCTGGGATAGACAGGGAATCGGGACCAATCGTAACTCTAGGTCGTCCATTACGTTCGTACGTGTCGTTGAATCAGTCGATAAATACGCTGCTCTCTAGTTGTTCACAGTCAAGGACACAACAATTAGCACAGGGTAAAAAGCAACCACAACTTAAAGTCAGAACACTGATTTAATTGTTCTGAAGAATAACAACCATCTTGATTCATATTTAGATGATCAAATACAATACAATATTAATATATAATTTGTAAACATCTAAATTATTCAGAAAATCATAAGACAATACAATTTTATTTATAAAAATATCTATTAATCTTATTATTGTGTGTGTTATGTAATCATTTGAAATTATGAAATAGTATAGATGAATAGAAGCTTTTTATCTAGTTCCATAACAACTATCTATTGTTTTCTTGTTCTTCAACTTATTATCAATACTATATGAATATTTATTTTGTTTTGTTTAAACATATATATATTGATACAAGGAAGCATCAAATAGAGATATGCGCCACATAAATCATTCCATTTATGTGAGCGCTGGAAAACTGTCCGAGTGCCCAAATGATGAAGCAGGTGGTTTTCTTAGGGGGGGGTCACACACTCGGAGCCTTCGATATAAAGGTCTGATCCACAATGCAGTGGAGCATCGTAAGCGGATGCAGTTCCATCGTGGCCGGTGACCAACGATTGGTTCATACGCCATTTGTACCTTCAGGATCCTAGAGCTAATGTGTACCATCGGTTTGGAATGAGGGTTTTCCAACTTCATTAGATGGATCCTCCATATTCATTAACCCGATTAAAGTGCCGGACATTGGCTTCTCGTCCTCTCAATTTCGTAAACAATATACATGGTGCGAGAAGGCAGTGGTTAGGAATTCCCTGTCAGTGGTTTTATGCACGTGGCCATGTGAGAGCATTTCGACTAAATAATATTTTGAATAAAATAATATATATTTGAATAAAGCATAGAACTGTATGAATTTATGCGATATAATAAAGAATAAATGTAACTAGATCAGTTGATGTGGTTATGCGTCTTTATCAATTGAGGAAGTTGTTTAACACGTCTTTTGTTAGATGTCCATGAAGTAACTGGGATTAGTGGTTGCAGATTTTGTATGATCTCACTCAGGTTCTGTCATAATCGCTCAAATCCATTAATCTTAATTTAGATCTTTAGTTCTAATCTCCCTTCATACATATTTTTTTCATTTCATCTTCTTGGACTATATTCCCAATCTCTGGTCGTTCTCATTTCCATTGTTTGTATATTATTTAGATCTCATTTGGTATTCATCTTATTATTCTCATCTTGTTCTGGTTTGTTGTGGAAACTTGAGTTAGTGCACATTCGCGCCTTCTCACAATAAAAGTGTTAGAAAAGACCCGCCCTAAAAGTGTCACCACTCACGTTGTTCCACAGTTGTCCGCCTTACTACCAGAGACAGAAAGTCATATAGTTGAGTTGTGATATTTTCTAGGCCATTCTTTTATAATCTCTCCTTTCCTTTATAAGGAGGCAGCATCACAATGTATGGTAATTGTTTGATAGAAGCACCTTATTGCTGTTACACCCCTATACAGTATTCGACAGTTTGACTTCGCCCTTTGACTACAAGTTTGCTAATTTTAATCTTATAGTTCTCCGACCGACTTCATAAATAATGTAGGATCTGCAGAAAGTATAGGTCGAATGGTTCATCACGATAGATAAGCCAGATCACCACGTCGCGGTAACAACTACGGTTACGTCAAGTCGAATACCTCTGGCCAGAATGAATTTTACTAAGCAAAGTAAAAGCATGATCCATTGTTAGTTATGTTTATTTCGAAAGTTGTATAAATTTTGATAAAGCTAACTTAGAAAGGTGCATCAAAGAAGTTGTTACAAGTTCGAAGCGCATACGTCTTAATAGAATGTTGTCTTTTGAACGTTGATGATAAGCTTAAGGTCAGCAATACGATTTATGTTTCTGAATAACGATTTAAAGTAATATATATATATATATATATATATATATATATATATATATATATATATATATATATATATATATATATATATATGGTGTTTTCTGATTGACTAAATGGATTCGCTTTTCTGATTGTCTCATTGTAGTAAGTCGGTTTGACCGCAATATTCAATTCATGTGAAATTTCCAATAATGGTTTAACAATATGATATTTATGAAAAATCTTTCTTTTAGGGCACAAATAAGCCAACTAAATTTTTACTGAATAGTTTACATGTTATTCTTATTTATCTGTGTGTAGGTCTCGCTTCAGGAGTAGCTGGTGGTTATTTGGCAAGTCGTCTATTTGGTGGTTGGGGTGGTGGATTTATGGGTCCAAGATGTGGCAGTTGGAGTTCATTATCTAGTCTCAGTTGGTCTGATTAAATTTATCTCTATATTACTGCGCCTCTCACCTTCTATATATATTTGATGATGATGAAGTTTTATCGCTCTTTACCTGTAATATCGACAACCATGGTAAGTATATTTCCATATATTTGTATAATCGTATGAACGGTTGAGAAATTCAGTTTCCTATTTCTCAATCGTTATATTATATCTATCTTTATACCTCATTCGACAAGATGTAACTAGAGCAGAACCAAATGTGTATACAAGTGTTTGCGTCTGTTTCAAAAATTACATTCACTATCAATACCTACTTGATTCCTTTTTTTTGATCAAACCTAAAATCGATCTGGAATTTCTCTTAGATTATTTGCCTTCTTAACGTTTCACTTGGACATCAGATGTTGATAAAAATTTCACGTGTATAGTCTCGCCTAATCCTATTAAAATAGTAAATAATATCCAATTGACTATGTGCGATATTAATTGTCTATTATGAAAAGTGTATTTCTGACAAACTGACAGACTATACATATAAACTACAGTGATCCTATGAAGCTTGAACTGTATATGTGTGATTTGTGAATGAATATCCGAACTGACCATAGTATTATATGAATTCATATAACAATCAATCATGCGATGTATTTTATCCAGTGATGAATATATTAGAAATATATATATATATATATATGAAGTTCACCTATATGTTGTGTGAGACAGTTACCTATCTGTAAACGATATTGAAATTTGGTCGCGTAATATCGCATAGAATACCTGCTAAGTGGTTTTGCACTTGTTGTAACACTTAAAGACTGTTTGTTCTATCTCTAACAAGATACTTTGTGTTCACTGATGAATAGTTTCATACTAAAACTAAACAGTTGTTCAACATTTTATTAATGAGAGTGTTTGTCAGTTCATAAATCTATAATCATGAGGGACGATTATACTGCGCGGCAGTCCGTTCCGTTTTAATTTACGACAGCGAAACATGGCCATTATGAGAGAAGACACCCGTAAGCTACTAGTATTTGACCACAGATGCCTTAGAAATATTGCTGGCGTCTGCTGGGATCACCGAGTAAGTAATAGTGAGGTTAGACTCAGGGTATTAGGTAATGATGGTAAATCAGTTGATGAGGTTGTGAATCTTCATCGACCGAGATGGTTGGACCACGTGTTGCGTATGCCTGAACACCGATTACCACGACGTGCAATGCTAACCGGTATTGGAGATAGTTGGAAAAAAGTTAGGGGGGCCAAACCAAAACTTGTCATCAGTCCTTGAAGTCATTAACTTCTAGTCTGAGTCATGTTGGTAGATGCAGACTACTTGGTTGGGGTCCGTGTGAGTATCGTAACCAATGGTTAAAGACTCTACTTTTATGAATCCGATGTTCATCTTGTTGTGTTAATAAAGTATGGCAACTTGGACCGATGCCTGGTCTTACGTTGTAACTGAATGACTGACTGACTATAATCAAGAGAGTAGTACTAATATCTCACGAGTTGGTTTTTTTCTTTATTCATAGTTTACTTCTCTTTTTTTTCTTTTCAATGATTTCGTTTTTTTTTTGCTTCTTTTTATATTTTTCACATATTTTGTTTTTATAGAATTCAATTCATTCATGCATAATTCTATTGGAACATAGATGTGATGAAAACCTACTTTCATTATGTATGTATATTTAAAAAGGATACAAAATTTCTTGTATACTTGTTTATTTTATTTATATGATCATTCATCCACTCACTTTAATCGTCATAACCTTTCCCCACCCCACCATCACCACCACCTCCCCATATAGCATCATTTTATTCTCACTTGCATGTATTGGGCGATTGATTTCTATGTTTAATTGAAAGATTATACTTTTAATAGATCCTGTTAGTAACTAGATTATTATTATTATTATCACTATGAATAATGGTATATTCATTCAAGATTTCATTTCATCTTAGTAAGTTACATCATTTATGTTTGTATATTTTATTAAAATACTTTTGTTTGTTTTTGTTTCTTATTTGTCATTCAATTTAATGTTGTTTCCAAGTTGTTTATGTTTGTTTGTTTATTTTGATTTTCTTTATTCATTGATACAATGTTAATGTGTTATACGTTAAATATAATTAAAAAAATGAATAAATTGTAATGTCATTTTAGATTGTTTTTTGTTGTTATTGTTGTAATTGTTGTAATTGGATCATTGACATCTTTAAAGAAGAAAGTAAGAGGCGGTCAAACTAAAATGTGACCATTAATCCATAAAGTAATAGTTATAACTTATGACATAAGTGCTCTGTTAATGTATACATGTGGTCAGTGCATGACATGGTGTCATGGTATGAAAGAAAGCTGCAAAGGATTGGCTTCTGTCGGTCCTTCACGACTCCCTGGTTGGGGGTCTGAGAGACGGTGCTACACAGTGGCTAGAGACGTTATTAGATATGGCTCAGAATAGAAGCCAGTGGAGATCCTGCTGTAACCTTCTTTTACTTTCTTCGTAAAACGTGGTTGTGTCTCCCTTACCTGAAAGATTTCTTCTGATCGTACCTTTCCGTTCCCTCGTTACTACCACACTGCCTTACACCAATCTCTTCGTTATTGTTCTCTTTTTCTTTTGCGCTCCTTAGTTTCTTTTTTTCTATCTCTCTTCGGATTCTCATTGTTTTGCGTGGCGCATAAATATTGGCGCTCTCTTGTACCAATATTCATGTGTTCAAATAAATAAAAAGTATACATGTAATAATATTGCCAATTAGGGATCAGTGAATTATCGATCGGATCAATGACGCACAAAAGAAGTATGAACAGTCCAGAGTACTTATCAGTCCTGCTTGCCGCCTAACCCAGCCTGTTAAGTCCAGAGCACCAATCTCAGCCTCTGCAATATGAATCTTTTTTTCAAACAGACTGAGTTTATATACCAACCATAGAGATCGCAACGTACCAATAAAATAGGAAACAACATTTATCCAAATGTGGCTGTGAATTTGGGAGACTGTAATGAATAGACTGGGCATAAATCAAGAACGGTAAATTGTATAATAATAGTTTATAGGTCAAAATAAAACTCACAATATGAGGGATATGAATATGAATAGTTTAGTTATTTAACAAATATACGTATAGTATTGGTTCATAAATGGATCCCAAAATTTGCCATTCATTATGCTTATCGAGACATAACAGTAATTAACTTCTTGTCTAAGCCATGTTGGTAGATGCAATCTACCTGGTTAGGTTCAATGGAATTATTGGTTGGAGACTCTGGTTGACACAGCTAAGAATTGATCACAATGACGTAGGTGTATACACCATCTATCCTTAAATTGTAAGATTAAAATCGCTTCATATTTTTCTTTTTTCCTGTACTATGTCCTTATATGCAATCTGTCTTTTATATGTTACCACCATTGAAGTAATTAAACACTCATAAGCTTATATACAATTATAATTAGATGACCACATCGTAAATATAATAAATCATAGAATAAGAAAAATAGAAATCAGCGAAGAAGATTTTCTTTTCGACGAAATCATTTACTTAATCTGTACATTCGTATATATAGTTACATGTGGAAAATGTCTATAGGAGGGATAGAAACAATTGCATCAAAAAAATCGATTCGAGACTACATAACAAATAAGGTTAGTTACTAATCAAGGGATAAAGAACAGAATCATTTATGGATCAGATAATTGTCCAATTGACAAAAAGGTCATAATAATCAAGAATTTATGGAGCCACATTGATGTGGCTTAAAGTGGAAGTTTATCCTGAACACATCCTCATGAATGGTAGACCGATTTTAGAAAACAATTCGGAGCTTAGCTGTGTAGAATGTTTTATTCAATGATTTTGAAATTCGTTTATTTAAGATTTTAGCAACCATGTACTCGTTTCAATACCATATTCACATAAATAAAGTTCTCTTTTGTATTGTCAATGCTTTTTCATGATAAAGTCTAAGTGTTAAATTGCTGAATTCACTTTTTCTTATTCAATAACACTGGCTTATTTTATTTATCTAAACAATTACTATTAATGACATTAACTTTTATCGACTCAAGATTAACAATACAGGTTAGATATATATATATTCATTAAAATAACCTATAGTGTCCATTGAATAACTCCGTCTGGAGTCCCTCCGGGAGCTTCTACCGGTCCCAAACCCGGAGATAAAGGAGGAGGGTTGGGTATGGGGTTAGTAACCCCATCCCATAGAAAACTAACTCGCCAAAATACGCTTACCAAAAAGATTACAGTATCATTGAATTAGAAAAAGAGAATGAAGTGAAGAAAACTATCTTTTCGACGAAATCATTTACTCAAGCTGTATATTCATATATATAGAGAGAGTTATATGGATAGAAACAATCGCATAACAAAAAGTGAATTCCAGACTAACAAACAAATAAGGTTACCTACTAATTAGAAAAGTAAAGAAGAGAAATAGTTTATAAATGAACAGTTTAAGTAAATGATTTCATTCAAAGAAAAGTGGATTCTTTGTTACATTCACTTTTCCCCTTAGATATGTTCATTGATTAAAGTTTAGAAATATGATGACAATGAAATAGACATAGAATAATAAATGTTATTAGTAGAACTCTGATGAATATCGATTACAAATCTATCTGATTATTGATTATTTAATATGTGTATCATACCGTTTTTTTAATTGTTGAAATGTTATTGTGTTGATGAGTACCCCCCTCCTCTCTCTCTCATACAATGAAGTTTGTTAATGGTTATTTTTTGTTGTTGTCTGATCATGATCATGTGTACTTGATCATATGTGACAACCGATGCATATTATCTCTTTTTCTAGCTCAAAATAATTCAGTCGTTTAAATATCGCTAGATGAATCATTCCCTTTCCTACATATATGTCTGTATGCTTTAATCTTATTAATGAATTTGTTTCAATCCGATTTGACTCTGAATCCACTTGCTCAAATTCCCTTGGGTTGTGCTTATAGCTTTGTGTTATGAACGATACAGAAATAAACTGTGGTCGATGGATCGTATGTTGCCTTCTGAATTTATTAAATAACGATTATCAGGTTAATTGATATACAAAGCATAAGGAATTATCTCAAAGTCAAGTCATTGTATTGTCTCTTACTTTGATAGGCGTTAAATTCAGCTCACATAGTGGTATCCCATTCAATGCAATATCTAACAAACATAGGATTTATTCTTACATGTAAGAGATACGATTCTTCTCCTTAAAATGAAAAATCTTGCTTCAAAATTGGGTTGCATCTGCACCTGAGTTAATGATAGGGAATGAAGTAATTGAGCATGTTGATCTCTTCACTTATCTTGGAAGTCTCATCAGCCCTTGTGGTCTGGTGTGTGGCGAAATCGCAGCACGGATACAGAATGTTCGACTAGCTTTTCCCAAATTGCGTCATTTATGGCGTAAGCGAGATATCCGTCTACCAATTAAAGGACGGATTTACTGTATAGCAGTTCGTTCAGTCCTACTTTATGGCTGTGAAACATGGCCTGTGAGAGTAGAGGATATTCGTAGGTTACTAGTGTTCGATCTTAGGTGTCCCAAATGCATTGACCGTATATCCTAGGATCACCGAGTAAGTAACGCAGTTGTTAGGAAACGGGTACTAGATAAGGATGGCAAATCAATTGATGAAGTGGTGAAACTTCATCAGTTGAGATGGCTGGGACATGTGTTACGTATGACCAACCACCAACAAGCGATGTTTTATTGTGTAGAAGTAGGTTGGATAAAATCTTCTTAATTCTTCATGTCCCCTACTTTTTCTTTTTCCAAAATTATTTCACTGAATTATACTCTTTAAATAACATCTCCAAACCCTAATCTTTCGAATAACTGGTTATACTTTTACTACCTCTACTACTATGGGATTTGAATTGACAATTGTATCTCTGTGCATTGTTGCTGATTGACTGACATATAAGAGATTAGCATATTAACAAAAGAAAATTATAATCCACTTCAAGGTTTCTGTATATTTTTATAAAACAACCAAGAATCCAAGTTACAAGGTGGTAGAATAAAAGGAGAAATTAACGAGTTAATCATGCATTTAGAATGTTCAAACACACAAAAAGATAAAAGAAGTGAGCAGGAATACATTTGTGTAATTGTTTACATTTTCCCAGATAGTTTTTTTCAATAATGATAATAAAGTATAATTTTTATTTTGGTAATAGATTAACCGTGGGCTTCACCTTTCTTCCCAGAGACCTAAGGATTATTAAATACATTGAAATAAATAGAATTTAACATAATATATATATCGTTACGTCATAGTCTGTTCAACAAGTACAGAAAACTGGGTCATAAAGAACTGAATATGACAAATTCTACGGATCGATCTTATTGTGTTAAAACTACTATTCGTTTGTCGTAATTCTCCTGTATAATATCACAGAATGTTCGAAACTCTTAGATGCCAGCTAAAAAAAATTTCAGCCCCCATATGACTTGGTTTGTCCGAGAGTGGGAAAAGTCAGCCCTCCGTCTCAAAATGCTCACAAGTGGTCACGTGTATACGAACACTTCCATGGAAGTAATACTCACTGCCTTCTCGTGGCCGGGGTTTTGTTTACGAAATTGAGAGGACAAAAAGCGAATGTCTGGCGCTTTAACCAGATTTGTGGATATGGAGTATTTACTCAGGAGATTTAGAAAACCCTGATTCCAAACCAATGATGCACATAGGCTCCAGTATCCTGAAGGAATAAATGGTGTATGAACCAATTATTGGTCACCGGCTACCATGGGATTGCATCTTCTCACGATGCTCCACTGCCTTGTGGATCAGACCTTTAGGTCAAAGGCTTGGTGTGTGGTCCTTTAGAAAAAACCAACTGCTTCGGTCTGGGCAGTATCACAGCCCACACACAAATAAAATGACGATATTCACTGAAAATACTATTCACGCTTCGATTGATAGTCAAACAATTCACTCTCTTTATTCATTAGATCCATTTTTATCAGAAATCATTTAGACAGTGAATTATTGACTGAAAATCATACAATTGATGATCTAATTATTAAAATAGGTCAATAGTCGTATTGACTTTGTTATCAGTCTGCAAATCTTTCCACTATTTATGTAAGTTTTTGGAAAAGTACCAACTTTCATAGATTATTGTACTGATGATTTTTAAACGAATTATCAGCACTTCATGATTAATCCACTAACCACAAAGAAACCAATCACATCAAAGTTATTTAAGGTATAATTGTTCTTGATCACCCCCCCAAAAAAGCAATACATGACATCAATAAAACTTGTAGCAGCTGTTAGAGACATCGAACAAGCTGACTATGTTCTTCCGTCTTTGAGTAAAAACTATTAAAATATGCTATATGTATTTGTGCTTGTATCCATAAGACAACTGTACAGACGATATGGATGATAGGAAACTGACGAAGGCAACCTAAACCAAACTAGGGCATTTTTAAAAGCCTAGAACATGACAATAAATAAAAGATATCAGAAAAAAAATATACAAAGATTATCCCCATTGAACTCTGATCCATAGTGATTTACGTCCAACAAGTATGTTTATGAATGTGACTTGTGATGTGCGTATGGATATATATACGAACAAACCGTAATCCATAACGGTTTATAGAAAAACAAATTCATTTAATGTTTTTCAATGACTGTAAATCTATAACACTGACAAAATCCAATTCTTAATTTACTCAGCTTGGAATCACCATTTATTTTAACACATAGATATTGGTACAAGAAGGCACTAAATACATATGAACCACACAAATCTCATTCAATATGTGTGAGGGCTGTGATACTGCCCGGGTGCCTAAACCAAAGCAGGGCTAGTGATACAAACCTGAAAGGTTCATATATATGACTCAATAAGATTTAGGAATCAAATGCTTTTTTTCCATGTGAATAAATTAACTTTCTCAAATTAGTTGGATATTGTTTTAGACAATTTGACATTTCTCAACCTTGAATCCCCTATAACCATAATGAATTACATTAGTCAATTACAATTCTTTGCAAACCAATCTAGATAGGTAAATCATGACTGAAATTTCTTTAAGGAACACATATGTATGTGACAAATGTCCTCGTATGGTCGACGATGGGTTAAGTCAGCCATCCTTTTCCAAATCCTCTTACATGGCCATTTAGTATATCAAAATCCACTTAATCACATCAAAAATGCATTGAATAAACAAAACTCGAGTCTTGTCAATGAGTAATTTTAATTGAGATCAAGAATTGATCAATGTTATACCACTATCGGAAACCTAGGAGTACTGGACTCCTCAGAAATGTGCATTCATGATCAATGCAGATTAGAAAAATGGACTAGTAGTATTATATTCGCTGGTTACAGAGGGTCGGAAGTAACGTTTGCTTGAACTACGGGCATTTTGCTAGTTAGCACTTGTCAACAAAGTGTAACCTCAGTCTTGGGCAACTGACGCTTTTTGTGCGATCTAAATCAGCGTCAACAATCTTTACAGTCTTTAATGTTAATACTGAGCTGTAGGACTGAGATATTGACATTTTAAAAATTCCATTACAATTTTCTATATTATGTGCGTAAGTTTGAATCTAGTCCTTTGAAACTTACAATTCTAATTGACTAACTTTCAAAGATACCTCGAAATTTTCACCAATATAAAAATCAACCACTTTGGGATGAAGGAATATCTAATTGATGAAACTGAAGTAAGACGAAATGTGCGTCCTTGATTACAGTGTTAACCATTGAACATATACCTTAAAGTCGAGTATACTAGGCTGTAAATCTTGTCGAAAGAATTGTATACATTCTTAATTATTATATCATTTACATGATTCAGTAGTCAGTCATTGAATTTATACGCATATATATAGTAACAATGATAATAATAATACTGAACTCACCCTTTTAAATTCATTCATATTGATTGTATTCACTGGATAACCATAGAATTTTAATGTATCAATTCGAGTTTGATCAGTTGAGGTTTGATTATTTTTCACAAAAATCTATGACACAATACAATCAACAACAACAACAGGAAGTATAGAAGAAGGGAGAAGAAAGTAGTTTAGAGTAAGGATTGTACAAAAAAAAAGGAAATTGGGCAAGATTATAATTTATGCACGAACCAATCAGATATAAGATAGATGATACATCTTGGATTTTGGCTCGATGATTCAATCATCCATTTGGCTAAATAGCTTTTTAGCATTTTCACTGATGTCAGTTCGTGATGAAAACCTTAAATCTAATTAATAAGCCTAACCATCAACTGTGAACTGAACACCGATTACCATGATGCGCAATGTTAACTGATGTTGGAGGATGGATGAAAGAAAGTTAGGGGTGGTCAAACCAAAATGTGGCATCAACTTTTGGTCTGAGCCATGTTGGTAAGTGCAGACTACCTGTTTGGGGTCAGTGCGATTATCGTTACCAGTGGTTGGAGACTTTGAGTGACATGGTTCAGAATCGATCACAAAGGTGTAGGTGTATACACTCTCTGTCTTCCCTTAAACCGTGAGATTAAAACTGGTGTATTCCTTTGTTTGCACCAACTAATTCTTTCTTCCTGTACTATATCCTTATATATTACCAACATTGAAGTGACTACTTCTATGATATTTGTGTTAATTAGGTGTGGCAACTTGGACCTATGCACATATATGTCTGATCCTGCGCTGTAAATAACTGACTAACACTATTTTATAACCCTCATTTAGTCCGACTTAGTAAGTGGACATACTCAAAATCAATTTGGAGTTGCTCAAAGGTCGTCCATCAATTTATAGTCTCACCGAAAATTATACTCTGTTTTCTTATCATATTCATTAAACTTTATACATGGAATTCGTTTAATTGATACACTTTGTTCTGAATATGTAAGTAGTGTATATATCTTAAATGAAGTAGAAGTTATGATGGAAATCCATTTAATATATAAGTTTTATTTATTACTGATTTTATTTCGAACTTTTTCAGAAGTTCTATGACTGAAAAGTTTTAACCTTGTACACACAGAGAGAGAGGGAGAGAGAGAATGGAAATATAACAGGAGTTAGTGAATCCGTTGTAATTCATGGCATTTGACGATCATTGTGTTTATATCATAAAATTCTGACTTTCAATACGACTGACTGTAAATAAGTTGCATAAAAATCAGTATATTCAGAGGTTCATTTTAATTTATCTTGAGTGCCAAATAGATCCTCAACAAGTCATCGTCTAGTAGTCTTCGAATACCGTGCTATGTCTAAAAATGGAAAAAGTCCACTCCCTCTTGAATTGCTCTCACATGACTATGCGTAAATAGCCACTGCCCAGTAAGTTCTACTTGGAGCCTTCTAGCATACAGGGAATTCCCTACAAAATTGAGGATGAAAAACGAATGTCCGGTGATTAAACCGTATGGAGGACACGGAGATTCTACATAGCTAGGGGAGTTGGAAAATCATGATTCCCAACCAATCGCCTATATCGACTCTACGATTCTGAGAGAACAAATGACCTATCAACCTATTTTTGGCCGCTGGCTACCTTAAGATCGCATCTCTTAACGTTGTTTCACTATCTCATAGATTAAATTTCTGAGTAAAATGCTCCAGGAGTGGTCTCCTAAGAAAACCACCTATTTTCGTTTGAACAACCGGTCAGTATTGCAGTCCTCCACATACATATTTTGATGCCCATTAGTACCAATATTTATAAGTTTAAATAAGTAAGTCCGATTTTTACAGTTTGCTTATTGAGACAACAAGAAGATTTCACACACTTAATAAACAATAATAACATACGTATATATATATATATATATATAGACCAATGAATAGATTGATCACTTACTGTAAGTGTACTAACATTCTGAAATTTTACAAAATTCAATTGTGTTATTCCACCATGTTTAATATCCTCTTCTGTTAATCTTAATGTAAAGAAAAGAGAATAAACATGTGAAAAGGATGAGAGAAAAAAAATTAGTTTTTGTGTTTACAATAGAAATAATTGGAGGGGGGGAAAGAATAGTTCATATTTGCCAAGGATTAAAAGTGAAAATTACATTACACTGTAAACAGAATGTATAAAACATAATCAATATAATGCTATTAGATGGTGATTAATTTAAAAAAAACGGTTGCGTATTCAGGTTGCCTATTTATTTATTTAAATACATAAACATTCGTACAAGAAGGCACCAAATAAATCATTCGATTTGTGAGGGGGGCTGGCACAATGCCCGAGTACCCTAACTGAAGTAGGTGGGTTTTTTTTTGGGGGGGGGGTCACACACCCGGAGCTTTTGATCTAAAGGTCTAATCCACAAAACAGTAAACCAACGTAAGGAGATGCAGTACCATGGTAGCCGGTGACCAACTATTGGTTCATACGCCATTTGTTCCTTCAGGATCCTGTAATCCATATGCGCCATTGGTTTGGTATGATGGTTTTCTAACTCCCCTAGATGGATCCTCAGTATCCACTAAACCGGTTAAAGCTCCGGACATTTGCTTTTCTTCCTCGCAATTTCGTAAACAACACCTGTGGTGTGAGAAGGCAGTGGTTGTACGCACCGAGACATGTGTGAGGATTTTGAGAAGGAGAGTGGACTCTTCCCATTCTCGACCGTACCAAGGCATTTGGGGGTGTCAATCATCATGAAAATGTGTCAAATGTTTTCGACTCACCAATTGTCTTCAAAATAAAAAGCATATTTTCATTTATGCAACTAAAACACTTGTCTCCTACGCATAACAATTCAATGTTTCTATTTATACTTGATTTAAACGGCGAATACTGAACTATGTTGTCAGAATTGTCTCATGAATTAACCGACTCTTACTTAGTCATCTTGAAGGTACTGCATTTACTCACTTTGAATTTACCTGAATTTGTGGCTTGATGAAGTTTCGGTTGTTCATTTGTTAAAAAAAGTTCGAGTTATTTAGTTATTAACCTATAAATGATTAACGTTAAAGTATTATTGTTTGTTGGAGGTTCGGCCTATTTGAGTTTCCAATATTTGTATTCACATTAGATTTCTTAATCGTTCTTATGTAGAATTTATTGTAGGCCGATTAGAAACCCTAATTCCCTGTTACGGCCGAGAATGGAGTGAGTCAGCCCTCCCTCTAAAAATGCTCTTAAGTGGTCACGTGCATAAAACCACTGCCATGGAAGTTCTACTCACTGCCTTCTCACACCACAGGTGTTGTTTACGAAATTGAGAGGAAGAAAAGCGAATGTCCGGAGCTTTAACCGGGTTAGTGGATATGGAGGATCCATCTAGGGGAGTTAGAAAACCGTCATACCAAACCAATGGCGCATATGGATTACAGGATCCTGAAGGAACAAATGGTGTGTGAACCAATCATTGGTCGCCAGGTACTATGGGACTGCATCTCCTTACGTTGCTCTACCATTTTGTGGATTAGACCTTTAGGTCAAAGGTTCCGGGTGTCATCCCCTAAGAAAACCACCTGCTTCGGTTTGGGTATCCAGAGAGTATATCAGCCTCCACACAAATCGAATAACGAAGTGTGATGCATATCTATTTGGTGCTTCCTTGTACCAATGTTTATGTGTTTAATTAAATAAATAAATAAGATAATAATTCATGAATAACTCAACCTTAGTTCCAATGTGCACAACAGAGTAAATAAAGGAAACAAGATGAGCGAAAATTCTTCGAAAAAGAGACAATACATAATTGTATGTTTCAAAAGTGAGTTACACTATTTCATATTTTATATAATGAAACGAGTAATATGGAATCATAACTAAGTGAAACAATCATACAAACGTTTACACAATTCGAGTATTAAAGGTTACAATAATATCATAAAGTTAATCTTGCCTATTTACTAATATACAACGGTAATATACTGTACAGTTCATACATTAGTTCATTTTAACAATGTTTTATATTCTCTGTTCTGATTTACTCCCCTTCGACTCTTTTGCATATTATTTTATACTACTTATTAATATTCAGTAAATAGTTGTATTCCTAGTAATTTCTGCGTTTATGTTGTAACGCAACGCAGCTTTGTCGTGTAATAATCTTGAAATATTTAAATATACTTATAACATTTATTGTATTTATCATTATAATTACTTTATCCCAATCATTGTAGCAGTGATTCGCGATTTTTTGCAGTCGTGCAACCTTTGTTTAAATGCAATGGTTTCTATACTGTTTGCTCTTAGTTTCGAAATTTGCTTGTTGATAAACTGTTGTGGTGTGTGCTACTTATATTGACATGAGTAGTATATGATGTTAGTGGTGAACAGGTCTGGCAGCAGAGACAAGAAGATTAAACAGTAAAGAATGGGAACAAAATGCAATTTGTATGAAAATACCAGAATAATGAAGTCTGAGTCATTTTGGGACAATCGATGGACATTTTGCAAATTAAGCCTTTACTTTATGATTGTTAAATTTTATTAAAAAGTCCTATAGTGTTGTGTTAAATACATTCGATTGTCCCCACCCGTGTTCTGTTCACTACACTGTTAGCGAGTTTAGAGAAACAGTTGTCTTTTGCACTATCGTATATTGTAATTATCCTTTATATTATTGTTACAGGAAGCCCTTATTTATTTCAGACAGAGAGATGCAGTAAACGGCGTAGACACCTTAAAAATTGAGGTTTGTAACTAATGTTTGCATATTATTCAATAAAGAACTGTTGTTTCAGGCAAATCATCATGGTTTTGCAAACTTTGATTTTGCACGTATCTCAATTGGATGACGTAGACGTTTTGATAGACTCAACAAATGTTTATAGTGATAAACAAACTAAGTCCTGGAACAAATCAACATCAGTTCCAATTGTCAGATTTCACATCAGTTCACACACACACACACGCACACGCTAAGGGATAGAGTCAGAATTTACTCGATGAATGTCAAATGAATCGAAATAAGTGATGCAAATGATAAAGATGGAGTTTATACGTTAAGAATTACTAATGAAACTAATGAATAAAACTATATACAAATTATTATTATTATGAGCAAAGATGGATGGTTGGTTAGCAGTGGAGTCCAGGACGCGCGTTACGCCTTATTTAGGGCTCGTCAGCTGGATGTTGACGTTGGGATAGACAAATTGTTGGTGGTCATATTGAACACTAAATGTATGTTTTCAATTGTACTGCGTTAAAAATGAATTCACCAAGAAGCGAACTGACTCATGCTTGAACTTATGTCTTGTTTTTACATCTCATTGGGTGTATAGAATAGTAACAAATATAAAGTCACTTATTCGATTCCCCCTTGAGAACTTGTGGATACGCATTGTTGAGGAGTTCCATAATAGAACTGTCCAGTGGTTCCACGCTTTCAATGATGATTAAACTTAGATCGATTCATGATTACAATGAAAGTTAACAAACTCCACAAGCCTTCACTGAGAATTTATTACGAAGCTGTAAATATCCTGTAAAAGTTAAATCGTCTCTCATAGTTATTATGTTGGGGATGATAGATCTCCAGAAACCACTTGATAAAAGTTTCATTTTTGTAGTTTTATTATGAGAATTCGAATCTCTTATCTTCGCACCCAAAGAACCCAATTTTTTACATCCTGTCTATATTTCTGAATTGAAAGGACTTCAAGTGTCATTCGTTCGTTTCCTCTTTTAGTACACTATTTTGTGACGTTCCGCGAAGACATTTTTGTGTCACATATATGCTCATGAGTTGTGTGCTTATATATATATATATATATATATATATATATATATATATATATATATATATATATATATATATATATATTTCCAAGCTGAATCTAGTCCTCTCCCTCTAGTTAGCAGGGTTGGGGCGCAGTGGGATAGTTAGCTTGTCCTGTTGTTGACTTTCATTTAGTTCGCTGATCCTCGGTGATACTGTAATCTCTCGAATATAACATACATTATTTACATTAGGTAACAGATTATTATGATCTTTCGATTACATCATAATCTTTATTCATTTTTTGTGTTTCCATACACAGAATCTTGGTTTTTTTTATACTATGAGTTAACTTTTCATGTCCAAGTAATGAAGTAGTGAATAAAATCTGCATTATGCATGTATTATTTTCTTAATTAATTGATAGGTATTATCGTTTGGAAGTGTTTTATGAATGTTATGCCAATTAACTTTGTTACATCATGGCATGAATTATCAGTGTTGAGAATTGAATGTGAAGAGTACATATATGGTTATTTATTTATTTATTTATTTCAACACATAGATATTGGTACAAGGAGGCACCAAATACATATGCGCCACACAAATCTCATTCGATATGTGTGAGGGCTGTGATACTGCTCGGGTGCCCAAACCGAAACAGGTGGTTTTCTTAGAGAGCCACACCCCGAGCCTTCGACCTGAAGGTCTGATCCACAAGGCAGTGGAGCATCGTAAGGAGATGCAGTCCCATGGAAGCCGGTGACCAACAATTGGTTCATATGCCATTTGTTCCCGCAGGATACTGGAGCCCATGTGCACCATTGGTTTGGAATCCGGTTAAAGCGCCGGACATTCGATTTTCGTCCTCTCATTTTCGTAAACAACACCTCCGCCACGAGAAGGCAGTGAGTAGGACTTCCCTGGCAGAGGCTATATACGCGTGGCCGTGTGAGAGTATTTCGAGAGGGAGAGCGGACTCTCCCCACTCTCGGCCGTACCAGGGCGTTTGGAGGCTAGTTAGTTATTGATATAATGGGGATAATATGAAAAGAAAGCTGTATAGATACACATAAGTTAGTCGTTCGTTACAATTCAACAAATGAGGAGGTTCTAGAAATTGTTCGATATAATGACTTGAAATTTTACACGACACAATATAAAATAGAAGCCATTGACAGTTGTGTTTTTTTTCATTTGTAGTTGTTATCTAAATTTTTCATAAAAGTGTGAGAGGGATGTCTCTTAAAATGAAAGAAGATTGAATTGTATAGCCTATTATATACTACTCTTGTTCATATTTTTGATTGTACTCCCTTAGCCTGCTTCTGTTAGTTTTTTTTTCTTTACAAAATTATCTCTTTATTTTATATCGACAATATGAATGTTGATGCCCAAATTGTATCAGGTTTTATGTGAATTAAATAAAATTAGAATTAATTAAACAATGGTTAGGACTAATCACAAAGTGGTGGGTGATCAATGTCATGTGTATCAAGTCCTTGTTAGTGCAGATCGAATACTATCGACCATGTTGCAATGTGGTCACCAGTCTAGGTGACTCGACACTGCGGACACTACATATTGAGATTAGATGGTGGTTGGATAGCTCAGTGGTAACGTCTCTGACTGTGAAGCTGTGTGACACGAGATCGAATCCGCTAGGGAGCACCAGTTCCCTCAAGAGATTACAGGTACACCTTGCTGACGAGTGCCAAGTAGCACGAAACCCGGGTCCAGGGTTTTCTGTCGACTACCTCCAACCACCATCTAATCTCAATGGTTAGGACTAGCCTGTATTTTATAATAAATATGAGTCTATTTGATAAATTACACAAGAAAAGGTTTTACAAAATTTAAAGGTAGATCAATTTAAGTTTAGTGAGTAGTTAGGATGACATAATCGGTCAGTCGGTTACAAAGTAGGACCAGGCACATATATGCATCGGTCCAAGTTGCCATACCTCATTAACACAACAACATGAACACCGGATTCATAGAATTACGTAGTTCAGTGGTTATAATATATAAAAGAAAGATTGGGTATAAGGATATAATACAGGAAGAAAGAATTAGTTCGTAGAAAGAAAGATATGGAGCGATTTTAATCTCATAGTTTAAAGGAAGACAGAGAGTATATACACCTACGCGATTGTGATCGATTCTGAGCCATGTCACCGAGAGTCTCTAACCATTCGTTACGACAGTCACGCGGACCCCAACCAAGTAGTTTGCATCTACTAACTATATTATGGATGGCATAATATAGTTATTGATTGAATTTCAAACCAACATAAATTGTCGACAATGTTCAAATACATTGTGTTACGTATTACCGAGTAGATTATGTAATTTTATGGAAACCATAACTTTCATTGATGAGTGACTAAACTAAAAAAAGTAGTCATTCCCAAACTCAGAGTGACTCAAAGTGTTCAGCGTCGAAGGATACTGTGTTATGTGTCCATAATTAACAACTTTAATAGATCACAGTTGGAGAACTAATTGAAGAGATTATATACTAATTGTATATTTTAAATAGTTTTCCATAAGAAACCACTTTTCACAAGTGTAGCCACTAATTTAGTAAGAGGATTTTCAAAACTGCCGTACGAGGAGCAACTGAAACAAACAGGATTCTGGATATCTTGAATAAAACTAAGGTACTACTACTAGCATATCTTTTTAATGTTTTTCTCCCTTTAAAACTAATCATTTCGAAAGGTCATCACAAAACATATCCAACAACCATGATTAAACAAACTCAGAATGGAATTCCATTGTTCTCAATGACTAATCAACAACTGGAACTCATTACTCGAACAGGTGATAATCAGCCCTATCGATGAAGAAACTCAATCTCCACTCGTAAACATAACATCAATCGAATGATCTACATTCATTAGTGTTGAACTCTGAAGACCAAATACTTTCGAAAAAATAAATACAGATTATAAACAAACAAGAACTTACTCTAATGTTTGTACAGCTTCACCAATTTCACAACTATCAAAATCAGGTGTTGATGTTTGATTAACAAATAGTTTTACTGTTTTTGGTGCATTCTCTAGAAGAAGAAAAAAATATGACAAATTATTCCAAGTACAATATAGAATGAAAATGTTAATTAAGTATTTAACTGAGATTACGAAATGAATTCAGTTAGACAATCACTAAAAAGTCTGGAAACTCTAGGATAGCTGTTTCATCTTAGTATGAGACTCTTCCCATAACAGGGGATTGAATTCAAGACCTTCAGTCTCACGCTTGAACTGAATCAAAATTCTTATTATGTACGGTGCAATTGTTCGTTGTCGAGTCAATGAATTAACAAGAGATAACAAACAGACAGATGTGTAATAAGTTAGATTTGATAAGTGTAGGAATTATAAAGACAACATGAGTTTATATGATGAAAAAACTCTTTTCTTATTTCATGTTTTTAATTTACAGGAGGATAGTGTTGACAGCTAGTTCAAATTCTGTCCTAACCTTCCATTTCTATTTAGATAATATTGAAATATTTCTGAATGATTTCAATATTACCAATGGTGGTTGATGGAGAAAGTAGAACTTTCACAGAGCAGACTATGAACAGATCTTAGCTAAACCAATATTGAAAACTAGGAAGCATTTGACACTTATTTCATCTCAGGATGGGACTCCTCAACAGTGAACAGACATCGAACACAGGACCTTGAGGTCTCATGGTGGGTGCTTAATATCTAGATCACTGAGTCAACCTCCGTTGATGCAAATGTCTAACTAAAATCAATCCACGATTTTGCACAACAAGTGTCTTTTGATTTACAATGGTGGTCTTAGCTAAGAACAGTTTGTGGTTTCAATATTATTAAAGTTAATCCTATGGACTAAAATTATAGCGTGTAGACATTTACAAAATCAGTTTCAAGTCTTATAGTGACGTACTAATTACACACACACACAAACTCCTATAAGAGAAATCGTCTGAAAAGAATGGCATTAAACACATTCTTCGGTTAATGGTACTGTAGTGAACAAGAACACTAGTGGGGACAATCGAACTTAATAAAATCTAACAATCATAAAGTAAATGCTTAATTTGCAAAATGTCCATCGATTGTCTCATAATGAATCGGACTTCATTGTTCTTGCATTTTCATACAAATTGCATTCTGTTTCCATTCTTTACTGTTCCATCATATTGTCTCTCTACTGTCAGACCTTCTGTTAACGACTAACATCGTACACTACTTATATCAATATAAGTAGCGCACACACCACAGTACCCTCGTTTTTTGATCAATTAGAGATAATTCATCACTACGTGTATATATTCTGAAGATATTTGCATAGTTCAAAGATAATTTTTATGATTGAATGACACCATTCAGAAAGGTAGGAAGATTTTTACCGCAAATAAATAATCAGCATCTTTAATAATACTGTATTCTCACAAATGAAATAATAGGTTACATAAGATCAGCCCGAAAAACAACACACATACACAACCCCCTTACTTCATAGATTTTCACTCCAGGTAATATTATGCAAGAAGTTCAAGAAAAAACGTATGGTAAAACAAGTCTATTAGGTAGTAGGTTTAAACATAAAAGACTGAAAAAAATTCTCAATTTGTTGTTTATGTCTCTCTCTCGAGAAATGTTTCTACACGGTCTGGCCGACCTGGAAATTTTAACTGATCATGGTACACTTTCTTTTACACAAAATTAATCGCCAAAGACTATGGATAGATTGTACAGTATACTATTTCGTGTTGTCATATAATGTGTGTAGATTTATTCAGTGTTCCCCTCTTTCACAACCTCCTATGACAAAAGTACACTAACTCATGATTAACTATCCTCGGCTATCATGGAAATAATGTTACCCTTACATAATCAGCATTTGTTTTCCTACATAGAAATGAAAAGATTAACCCTAAATATAGCATATCTCACTTGATTCCATGAATTTTTGTCTCCGATGGTAAGGCATTTTAAATACAAAACTAATTAACAAAACTCATATTTCATCGACTTCAAACAGTTTCCCCCTTGAACTTTACAATCAAAACTCCTGTATCAACAAAATCACATTTAACCCAAGTTTCTCTCCTTAAGAAAAAGTATCCTCCTACAGTTCGAATAACCAAGAAGTAACAATCACCCATTTAATTCTATAGCAGAGCTAAGAATCATATTAATAACAATTGAACACATCTAAAACAAAAAAATGGATAATTACATATATCTAATGACTAATAATGATAATAATGACAAAAATCAAATGTACCTTTAGGTCCATTAATCTGTACAGATTGAATACGAACAAATTGTGAGAAGGTAATGTATATAATAAGCTTTAAGAAAGAAAAAAAATTAGAAGGAATTAATAATATAAGACATTCATTATGACAATAATATTGACACAAGTCGATTAACTTCAATATAAAATCCATCGGTAAACATGATTTATTAGTTACTACACATAAGATTTCAGTTCTAAAGCGAATTAATTGCCAATTGAAGAGTTTAGTGATAAGGTTGTAGACTGTGAAGTTGAATTATGTTAGGTTCTAGTTCTATAGTGCTAAACACTGACTTCGGTGGCTTGGACATGTTCTACGAATGTCGTCCCAGAGAATTCCACGTCGTGCATTATTTGCCGACGCTGGGACTGACTGGAAAAAGCGGAGAGGTGGTCAGTGTATGACATGGTGTCGTGGTATGAAAGAAAGCTGCAAAGGACTGGCTTGTGTTGGTCCTTCACGACTCCTTGGCTGGAGTCCTAGAGATGGTGCAGCATAGCGGCTAGAGACGTTATCAGATATGGCTCAGAATAGAAGTCAGTGGTGATCCTGCTGTAACCTTCTTTTACTTTCTTCATAAAAAAAATGGTTGGTTCTTCCTTAACTGAAAGATTTCTTCTGATTGTACCTTTTTGTTTCCCCCATTATTACTATTATTATTATTACACTACCTTACACCAATATCTTCGTTATTGTTCTTTTCTCTTCGAATCCTCATTGTTTCGTGTGGCGCCCTCTTGTACCAATATTTATGTGTCCAAATAAATAAATAAATGGTGTTAAATCAGTTTCTCTAAAGATTTTTGGTACATCCTGTTGACAAATACAAAATAATACTAAATCTATATCCACCAAAGTTTCCTGTCAATTGCATTCGATTAATTAACATCAAGTATTGTACGTAGATATTTTATTTATTTAAACACATAAACATTGGTACAAGGAGGCACCAAATATGTGCCACATAAAAAATTCGATTTGTGCGAAGTCTGGGATACCATCCCGGTGTCCAAAACGAAATAGGTGATTTTCTTAGGGGATCACACCTGGAGACTTTGATCTAGAAGTCTAATCCACAAGTCAGTGAAGCAACGTAAGGAGATGTAATCCCATGGTAGTCGGTATCAGTTAGTCAGTCAGACACAACGTAGAACCAGGTACATCAGTCAGTCAGTAACAACGTAGAACTTAGTACGTACGTACATCAGTTCGAGTTGCCATACCACATTAGCACACAGATGCAGTGGTCGATTCAAATCCCGTAGTGGTAGAGGTAATAAGAGTATAAGCAGTAATCGGGAGGATTAGGGTTTGGAGATGTTATTTAAAGAGTATAATTCAGTGAAATAAATTTGGAAAGAGGAAAAAAGGGACATGAAGAATTCAGAAGATTAGTATTTGGTAGAACACAAAGAGTGGATGCACCTGCGCCATTGCAAACGATTTTGAGCCATGTCATTCACGGTCTCTAACCATCGATTGCTAACATCTTGCGGTCCCCAACCAGGTAGTTTACAGCTACCAACATGACTCACACCACTTGTCAGTGACTTCATGGACTTGTGCCATGTTTTGGTCTGGCCGCCCCTAGCTTTCCTCCAACCTACTCCTATAACACTGAACATCGCACGTCGAGGCAGTCGGTCGTTGGGCATACGTAACACGTGTCCCAGCCATCTCAACTGATGAAGTTTCACTATTTCATCAATTGATTTGCCATCCTTACCTAGTACCCGTTTCCCAACAACTGCATTACTTACTCGATGGTCCCAGGATATACGAGCAATATTACGAAGACAACTATGATCAAATACTAGTAACCTACGAATATCCTCTACTCTTACTGGCCATGTTTCACTGCCATAAAGCAGAACGGAACGAACTGCTGCGCAGTAAACACGTCCTTTGGTTGGTAGACGGATATCTCGCCTACGCCATAAATGACGCAAGTTGGCAAAAGCTAGTCGAGCCTTCTGTATCCGTGCTGAGATTTCGTCACACACCAGACCACAAGGGCTGATGAGACTTCCAAGATAAGTGAAGCGGTCGACACACTCCACTACTTCACTCCCTATCACTAGTTCGGGTGTCGATGTAACCCAATCCTGAAGCAACATTTTGCATTTCGAGGGAGAGAATCGCATCCCGAACATGCTTGCATTGTTGCTCAGAGTGGTCAGAAGACTCTGCATTTTATCAGCGTCTTCACCAAATAAAACTATGTCATCTGCATATTCTAAGTCAACAAGTGAACCTCCCGGTAGAAGTTCAACCCCCGGAAATTTAGATGAGGAGAGTGTTATCTCTAAAAGTACGTCGACCACAAAGTTGAACAAGAATGAGGAGAGTGGACAGCCCTGACGAACACCACTTGAGGTAATCAATTCTGATGACAGTTCGCCATAAGCTCTCACTCTACCAGATGTGTTCGAGTAGAGAGCCTTTATAAGGTTAATGTACTTCTTTGGTACTCCTTTCAGTGACAAACACTGCCATAGAACCTCACGGTCAACAGAGTCGAATGCCGCCTTAAGATCGAGAAATACTACCATTGTGGGTCGTCTGAATGTGTGTCTGTGTTCTAGAACCTGACGTAGTGTGAATATCTGATCTATACAACCACGTCCAGGTCGAAAACCGGCCTGGTTTTCTCTAGTTTGCTCTTCACGAGCTTTGATTAGGCGTCGAAGTATTATTGAAGCTAATATTTTAGACACTATATTAGTCAAACTGATTCCTCTGTGATTGTCACAAGAGGACTTTTGTCCTTTCTTATAAACTGGTACAATCAGTGATTGAGACCAGTCAGATGGGATTACGTCCAGTTCCCAAATTCTACCTAAGACCTCGGTTAATCTCATTGCTAATACTGGACCACCATCCTTAAAAATCTCAGGAGTAAACCTGTCAGAGCCTGCTGCTCTCCCTCGTTTCAGATTTCCTATGGCTTTTTCAACTTCATAAAGAGACGGAGGACTTACATTAACTTGCCATTCAGGTTGACTGGAGATCGTGGGAAACCGAAGTGTGGCTGAAGGCCAGTTGAACTGATCCCTACAGTGTTCTGCCCATCGATCCAATCTCCTGGATTGAGAATGTATAATATGTCCATCTTTCTCAAAGAGTGTTTCGCTAACAGTAGAACCTACAGGAACATATGTTCCAGCCAATATAGCTCGGATGGGTCATCACGATAGGCAAGCCCGACCACCACGTCAAGGTAGCAGCTTCGGTCGGGTACATATGTGCATCGTTCCAAGTTACCATACCTCATTAGCATAAAAAGATAAACACCGAGTCCATAGAGGTAGTTAATTCAGTAGTGGTAATATATAAAAGAAAGATACATATAAGGACATTGTACAGGAAGAAGTAGTACGTAGAAAGAAAGATATGAAGTGATTTTAAACCCACAGTTTAAGGGAGGATAGAGAGTGTATACACCGACCGGTGCCACGGTTTGGCCTTCCCTAACTTTCTTCCAACCATCTCTAACACTAGTTAGCATTGTGCATCATGATAATCGGTGTTCAGGCATCAGTCAGTCAGTCAGCTACAACGTAGGACCAGGCACATATGTGCAACGGTCCAGGTTGCCATACCGCATCAGCACAACAAGATGAACACCGGATTCATAACAGTGGTTAGGTAAAAGGTGGTAATATATAAGAGAAAGATTGCATATAGAGATATAATACAAGAATTGGCTAGTAGAAAGAAAGATATGAAATGATTTTAATCTCTTAGTTTAAGGGAAGACAGAAAGTGTATACACCGACGCCATTGTGATCGATTCTGAGCCATGTCACCAAGAGTCTCCAACCATTGGTTACCATAGTCACGCGGACCCCAACCAAGTAGTCTGCATCTACCAACATGGCTCAGACTAGAAGTTAGTGTCTTCAAGCACTGATGCCACGTTTTGGTTTGGCCGCCCCTAACTTTCTTCCAACCATTTCCAATACCGGATAGCATTGCACGTCGTGGTAATCGGTGATCAGGCATACGTAACACGTGGCCCAACCATCTCAGTCGATGAAGATTCATAACCTCATCAACTGATTTACCATCATTCCCTAATACCCTGCGTCTAACCTCACTATTACTTACCCGATTATCCCAGCAGACGCCAGCAATATTTCTAAGGCATCTGTGGTCAAATACTAGTAGCTTACGAGTGTCTTCTACTCTTAATGGCCATGTTTCGCTACCGTAAAGTAAAACAGAACGGACTGCCGCGCAGTATACTCGTCCTTTTATTGATAGACGGATATCTCGCCTTCGCCACAGGTGACGTAAGTTGGCAAAAGCCGAACGAGATTTTCGAATCCGTGCTGAGATTTCGTCCGATACCAACCCATTAGGGCTGATCAGACTTCCAAGATAAGTGAAGTTGTCAACGCGTTCGACTACTTCACTCCCTATCCTTAGTTCAGGTGTTAACGCAGACCAGTCCTGAAGCAACAACTTGCATTTCGAGGGAGAGAAGCGCATTCCAAACATCCTGGCATTGTTGCTCAGTGCTACCAGAAGACTCTGCATTTTGTCAGCGTCTTCACCAAACAGGACTATGTCATCTGCGCATTCTAAGTCGATAAGTGGACCTCCTGGATGGAGATCAATACCCGAGAACTCAGTCGACGAGAAAGTTATTTCCATCAGTAGGTCTATGATGAAGTTAAACAAAAATGGGGAGAGTGGACATCCTTGACGGACACCACTTGAGGTTGCAAAAGTAGATGGCAGTTCGCCATAAGCTCTCACTCGACTAGTAGTGTTCGAGGATGTCCACTCTCCCCATCGTTCAGGCATACATAACACGTGGCCCAAACATATCAGCCGATGAAGATTTACAACCTCATCAACTGACTGACCATCATTACCTGATACCCTACGTATAACCTCAGCATTACTTACTCGATGATCACAGCAGATGCGAGCAATATTTCTAAGACATCTGTGATCAAATACTAGTAACTTACGAGTATATTCTACTCTTAATGGCCAAGTTTAGCAGTCCTAAAGTAGAACAGAACTGCTGCGCAGTATACTCGCCCCTTAATTGATAGACGGGTATCTTACCTTCGCCATAGGTGACGTAAGTTGGCAAAAGCCAAACAAACTTTTCGAATCCATGCACAGATTTCGTCAGACACCAACCCATTAGGGCTGATCACACTTCCAAAATAAGTGAAATTGTCGACGTGTTCGACTAATAAACTCCTTATCCTTAGTTCAGGTGTTGACGCAGGCCAGTCCTGAAGCAACAACTTGGTTCATACGCCATTTGTCCCTTCAGGATACGGGAGTCCATGTACACCATTGGTTTGAAATCAGGGTTTTCTAACTCCTCAATGTAGATTCTCAATATCCATTAACCCGGTTAAAGCTCCGGACATTCGCTTTTCGTCCTCTCAGTTCCGTAAACAACACATGTGGTACAAGAAGGTAGTGAATAGGACTTCCCTGGCAGAGGCTATATACGTGTGGCCATGTGAGAGCATGTCGAGAGGGAGAGTGGACTCTTCCCACTCTCGGCCGTACCAGGGCGTTTGGGGGCACAGTCACTACCAGGGAAGTACTACTCACACCACGGGTGTTGTTTACGAAATTGAGAGGACGAAAAGCGAATGTCCGGAGCTTTAACCGGGTTAGTGGATATGTAGGATCCACCTAAGGGAGTTGGAAAGCCCTGATTCCAAACCAATGGTGTACATGGACTACAGTATCCTGAAGGAACAAATGATATATGAACCAATCTTTGGTCGCCGGCTACCATGGAACTGCATCTCCTGACATTGCTCCACTAGCTTGTGGATTAGACCTTTAGGTCGAAGGCTCTGAGTGTGGTCCCCTAAGAAAACGACCTGTTTCGGTTTGGGCACCCGGGCAGTATCACAGCACTCACACAAATCGAATGACGGAGTGTGCTGCATATCTATTTAGTGCCTCCTTGTACCAATGTTTATATGATTAAATAAATAAATAGATAAAACTTTATATACATTAAACACGCACACTAACCTGTTCATCTGTATCTGACAGTAAATATGCCTTGGAATTATTATTTTCAGAGGAATTTAATAATTGAGCAAGTGAATGTGTATCATCTTCATTTAAACATTCACATTGACTTTTTGACAATAATATATCCATATCATACTAATAGTAAAAAAGATTTTTAAAATGAAACGATCAGATATACATGAACGTGATGATTAGAAACTATATTAGTCAAACGCAAAATAGAACCTTAGAAAAAGTGAATATTGATTCAAGTTGCCACACCACATCAACCTATTTTGGTAACTGGCTTCCATGAAATAGCATCTCCTGACGTAGCTCCATTGTTTTGTAGATGAGACCTCTATATCATAAGATTGAGAAGTGAGGCTACTTGAGAAAACCATTTTATCCGATTTGAGCAGTCGAATAGCATCCTGGCCTACATATAAAGAAAACGATCGACAATTACAAAAGGAATGATCCACTTGTCCTATTGTCATAAATCATAAATTACACTATTCTATGATCAAATACTTCTAAGGTAAATACATATTGTGACCTGATTTAGTAGTTTCCCAATCCAATTACTAAGTAATCAAGTACAATATAGGAGCGAATTACACTCTAAGTTATACATTTTGTAACTGAATTCGAAAATACTATTTACAACCTGCCCTAAACCGTAGTGTACTCAACGCCTGTTACTCCTCATGGATTATAGGCTGCCCACAAAAAGTCTTCAAACAACTCTGTTCTGGGCTTTTCTTTGCAGTCGTTGCTAAGTGTTATTTATTATTTTGATGTCTGTCTCCAATTCCCGATGGAACGTGTTATTTGGTCTTCCCTTTTCTTAGCTCCTTGAGGACTCCAAGTTAGGGTTTGCCTCATGATGCAGTTTGACGGTCTTCGCAATGCGTGTCTTATCCACCTCTAGCTTCTTTTCCTAATTTACTTTTCAACTGGAAACTGATTCGTTATGTCCCATAGTAGGTTGTTGCTGATGGTGTCTGACCAACGAATCTTGAGTGTCTTGCGTAAACAACTGTTTATAAATATCGGTGCCTTTTTTATCATGGTTGCAGTAGCTCTTAAAGTTTCAACTCTGTACAATAGAACCACTTTGAATTTTGTATTGAAAATTCTGACTTTAGTGTTGGCTAACAGTTGTTTTGAGCTCCAGATTTCCTTCAACTGTAAGAATGCACCCTTTGCTTTGCTGAAATAAAGTTTATGTGGAGTCAGTTTTGAAATGAGTTACCCAACGATTAAAAGTTGTTGCACTACACAGTCACAGTGTTACAATCGTCATGTTTAAATAGTAACAAGGAAATCAGAACATTTAGAAGAAAAGTTAAATGTCAATCCCGTATGACAATTGATTCGAAGTAAAAGGATGCGTACTTGTTTGGAAGACTGTGGGCTTTTATTTGAGCCACTTTCATGAGAGTCTGATCCAGAGAGAGCAAGTTCTTGTACTTTATCTCTTAACTTTTGTGGGACTCCACCGGTAATCCGATCAATTTGTTCAGCTCCACGTAGAAATATAAACGTAGGTAATGATCTGACATTGTAACGTTGTGCAACGTCCTAAAGTATAAAAATGCAGATTGAAAAGAAACATCAGTAATAACACTAATAGTAATCTGCTCACTAGTGACTACCTTTGAATATGGACTACCTGAACTCCTAGCAGGAAGCTATGATCGGTAAAGTTATCTAAATACGGTGATACGGTAAAAAAACAGATTTCTTGTTAGTTATCTTTTGGGCATATGTGATCGGACGGTATTACGAGAGAGGGGTTATATTGGTCTATTCAAAGTATTGATTATTTCATATAGACTGTCTATCTAGTACCGATAGACCTTCGGATGACTAGTAGTGAGGTCACAGCCAAGAATAACATTTAACGAATACAAATTTCTTTTAGATGCAAAGGTTAAGTTTGTGAACATGGATTGCAATGGCTTCCGCAATGTACAAAAGACGCATGTGGTAAATTTGATGGAATATGGTAGATAACCTTAAAAGCTTTATTCAGTTCAACGTGATGATCTCTGTCAACCAAGTGAGCGAGAATAGAACTCTTAATCAGTCTTACCGAATACTGGTACAGAATCCAGCTCTCCTATGCTCGCTAGCTCGATAGTCACAACAGAGCAAAATACAGCAAGCGGATAACTTCTAACAAACAGTTCAAATTTATGAATCACTCATAAAATAAAACAGAGCGAAATCCTGAACGTGCATCAACGTAATTGAGAAGTTAAACTCATGGCATTACTACACCATAAACGGATGAGAACCAAGTCAGTAATAAAGTGACAGTAACTTAAGAAAGGTACGACACTACAACAGTTTATACATCCCGGAAAAGCTTACAAGCAAGAGAATTCAAAAATATAATAACTTAATCATACAATAAAAATAAGATAAAACCGCTTCGAATATGAGAGAATGAAAAACTAATGTCCGGTGATTAAGCCATATGGAGGGCACGGACAGTCTACATACCTAGGGCAGTTGGAAAACCCTGATTTCAAACCAATCGCCCATATCAACTCTACGATTCTGAGGGAAAAAATAATGTACTAACCTATCTTTGGCCGCTGGCTATTATGAGATTGTATCTTTTAACACTGCCTCATTGCCTCGTAGATTAAATTTCTAGGTCAAAGGCTTGGGGAGTGGTCTCCTAAGAAAACCACCTGTTTCGGTTGGGGTACATGGGCAGTATTGTATAGACCTCAAACAAATTTTGTGTGCCATATACATATTTTGGTGCCCCTTTGTATTAATGTTTGTGTTTAGATAATTTAAATAAAAAATAATGAAGTGTAAGTTCATTTTGTATTGTTTGTTTAAATCTTCATATCGAAAGTTTAAGACTGCGATTGATCAGTCTCCTATTGGCATATGCGCATCCGGTGCGGGTTACCTCGATATTGCCTTACTTCACAAGCATGATAACAAAGATAGATGGTGGCTAACAATGGAATCGAGGACGCGCGTTCCATCCTATTCGAGACTCATCAGGTGGATGCACTTGCATCCCAGAATTGATGTTCACTTGGCTTATAATGATTGTGAATTAAGGAAATATCGAGACAACCCACACAGTATGCAAATATGCCCATAATAAGCTGAGCAATTGCAGTCCTAAACGTCAATGGGAAGATTCAAGTAAACAATACCAAGTGAATTTAAACTTCACCCCATTGCACAAGCAAGTGGCTATCAGGACTCAGTAGCTAAGTGGATAACGCGATGGCGTTTGAAGCAAACGGTATTGAGTCCGAGTACTCGAGTGAACGTCAACTCTAGGGTGAGGGCACATCTAGCCGACGAGTCCCAAATAGGACGAAAAGTGGGTCTTGGATTTCACTGCTTACCGCCATCCATCTTTGTTTATAATTAAGTGTAAGGTTTGGTAAAACATGTGGATTGGTTCAAACTATCAGATACTGAGAAATTAAAATCATACTAAAGAAATAAAAACAATAACATCATTATTGATTGGACGAAACCGGAAGCAAGGAACATACTAATAGGGAAAAAATGAAAAGAGCATAAGATAGTATCAGAACATAAAATTTAAAAGATAAAGGATAAATATATTTGGACTATTGTGATCGATTATTAGCCATGTAACCTAAAATGTCCAACCATATATCATGAATATCTGATCAAACTCAATCAGGAAGTGTACACCTCAGGACGACGCTTATTCCAACAATCAATAACCTGATGAGCTGATTTCATGTAGTTAGTGTTTTTCCAACCTGTTTTTACACAAGCTCACCAATATACGTCAACGTGATTGATGGTTGGATATGTGTAATAAATACTTAGGCCACCTCAGCTAACAGAAATCTATCGTCACAATGACCAATTTGCCGGCTTCATCTTACGCTTAGCCTGAACAGTTTTTATCAGGTAAAGATTTGTGTACTCAGCTTTCAGCTATATTTCACATGCGAGTACCAGTGATACTACTCGGTTCCATAAACCGAAGTAAATGGATGGGAATTGGAACTTGCTACCTGGTAGTCGAAAGTCGGACACTTTAATTAACAAATCAACATTCAACAAACTCAACAATAGTCAGTCAGCGGTTTCATTCCATGCGAGTAGTATTTTGACCAAATATTTTCAAATACTAATAACCTATATATATACACCTTATCTTTGAAACTCATAATATATCTTGCGTGGAGGAGTCTAATTCAATTTAATCAGAATGCTAGTTTTTATAGAAACACAAATGTGAGTTTGTTCTTTATGCTAAGACTGGATATTTACTAATAAATGTTTAAATCCTGAGCTCTAAACTATATTGCCCATCAAAGCGCCATGATGTTAATGGGAGGACTGAAGTTTGACCAGTAGTATTAATTTAGTGAATATAAGACTTAACACTTACAGTGTTATTTGAATTGAATTATAAAGTTGAAAAAAGCTAAATGCTTATGTTTATATACCCAAAGATTAACGTAACCACCATACGGGGCGAATTAGTTGAGTGATTCGACATTTTTACTTATCTAATCAATCTTGGTGGGTTGATATCTGATGAAATCTTACTATGTCACCTAGGGAGTAGGTGAGATATCCGTCTACCGACCAAAAGATCAGTTTGCCGTGCAAAAGCTCACTGATTTTTACTTTATGGTTGTGTAAAGTAGTCATTCAGAAAAGAAAATCGTAGGATACTAGTAAATATGGCAAATGGATTGATGGGGCATCGAATCTTCGTCACCGCCTACCTCGACAAGTAGGTCGGAATCTAGGGGGGGGTCAAATCAAGACATAACACCAGTTAATGGAGACATTGACATTTTAACTGAGCCGTATAGGTAGATGTAGACTATCTGGTTTGTGTCCGTATAATTATCGTAATCAGTGGTTAGCGACTTTGGGTGATATGGCTCAGAATCGTTCGAAATGGGGAAGGTGAACTCACACTTCTCCTCCCCTCAGATTGTTAGTCTTAAAATTACCTTACATTTCTTTTTCGATACCCAATCTGTACCATTACTATAGATACTGTTACTAATTTGAAATTTGTCTTGAAATAATTTTATCTTGGTTTGTTGATGTGGCGTAGTAGCAACTTGAAATAATTCATGTTGTATTTCAGCTTTTACATTGTTTATGACAAACTGATTGACTGATATTAAAATTAAAAAGTATCATTAAATGTTTACCTCAAGTTTATCAACATCAATTTTAACAAATTTCATATTTTTATACTTGATGCTTAATTCTTGAAAGACAGGAGCTATATCTGAACAAGGACGACACCATGAAGCATAAAAATCCATTACTACAATGCTTGGACCATTATTTGCCTGTTGTAAAATTTGTTCAAGATGATGTTTATCTGTGATATTAATCACAGTGGCCATCTAATAAGCAAATTTCTAAAATAAAATTTCAAAGATGAAACATCAATTTACTTTAGAAAATATATTATAAAAACCAGTCAGTCAACTATAACGTAGGACCTGCCCCCAAATGCTCTGGTACGGCCGAGAGTGGGGAGAGTCCGCTCTCCCTCTCGAAATACTCTCACACGGCCACGCGTATATAGCCTCTGCCAGGGAAGTCCTACTCACTGCCTTCTCGTGGCGGGGGTGTTGTTTACGAAAATGAGAGGACGAAAAGCGAATGTCCGGCGCTTTAACCGGATTCCAAACCAATGGTGCACATGGGCTCCAGTATCCTGCGGGAACAAATGGCGAATGAACCGATTGTTGGTCACCGGCTTCCATGGGACTGCATCTCCTCACGATGCTCCACTGCCTTGTGGATCAGACCTTCAGGTCGAAGGCTCGGGGTGTGGCCCCCTAAGAAAACCACCTGCTTCGGTTTGGGCACCCGGGCAGTATCACAGCCCTCACACATATCGAATGAGATTTGTGTGGCGCATATGTATTTGGTGCCTCTTTGTACCATTATCTATGTGTTGAAATAAATAAATAAATAAATAATAAATAACGTAGGACCAGGCATATATATACATCGGTCCAAGTTGCCATACCGCATTAGCACAGAAATATGAACACTGGATTCATAGAATTATTTAATTCAATCGTAGTAATATATAAAAGAAAGATTGCATAATAGGATATAATACAGGAAGAAAGAATTAGTACGTGGAACGATATGAAGCGATTTTAACCTCATAGATTTAAGAAAGACAAAGTGTATACACCTACGCCATTGTGATCGATTCTGAGCCATGCCACTAAGTCTCCAAGCATAGGTTACGATAGTCACGCGGATACCAACCAAGTAGTCTGCATCTGCCAAAATGGCTCAGACTAGAAGTTAGTGACTTCAAGCACTGATGCCACATTTTATATCATATAACTAAGTTTGATAATAACCAACTGGCTTCATTTCATTCCAATGGTGTAATTATAGACATCACTGCAGCCATGATTGGATGTATTCAAATACATTTATTAGAAACCAATATAATGTTCATTAACCTAAAATGAACAGCTCAGATGACAAGTAAACAATATATGTTACTTAATGATGAAATGTATGATGACATTCTACGGAGTTCTAAAGATGTACAAATTAAAAGTGTTAAGTAGTAGAATAAGCTGCTCTTTAGTATAAAGAACAGATCTGTAGCTTGATTTTTTAGGCACTCAAATTGGAACTATTCAGTCAAAGGTATTACTTTTTCTGACAAGGTTTTAATAGCCCTCACAATTAATCAAGCTAAATCAGATGGTAGACAAGTTTTTACTACGTCATCTGATATTGTGTGGATGAGCCAGTTAGTGAGTCATGACTATCGTAGTCATGAAAAGACGTGCGTTGTCACACGACATCAAAATGAAATAAAAAATCAACCAGACGAATGGCAAGGGAGTCCCAGTAATTGTAGTGACAACGGCAGTGACAAAAACTAAACACTGAAAAGATATTTCGAGAAGACAAACTGAGGTTGGCATGAAGAAATGCTGCAACTGAAGATCTAGAGTAAGATAAAGTGTAAATGTATCTGTCTCGTTGTAATCAACTAGGAGCCATATCCCATGTCTCCATTAACTGATCACACGGACCTCACCTAATCAGGTAGTCTGTACCCATAAACATGGCTCAGATCGATAGTCAATGACCACGTAGATTGACCACACGTTTCGGTCTAACCGCCTCTAGTTTACCTACAACTTACTCTTACATCAGGCAACACTGCACGTGGAAGGCATGAAGTAAGACAAGTCTCAAACATTTCAGTCAATCATGATTTACAACCTCATTAATCAATTTGCCATCTTTGTTCAGTAACCCACCACCGCTGATTCAATCGTTCCAAAATACGCAAGTAATCTTTTAAAGACATCTACGGTCAAATCTCTTAGAGTAGGCATGCCTTCTACTTTATAAGCCATATCAAAAACATTTATAGGCTGAGTACTTTTGTATGATATTCGTTTGCAGAACAAAATATTCATAGTTACCTGATGTAACTTTTACTTTAGAGAAAATTTTGTTTTAGACAGTTTTATTCTTAAGGCATGTACAATCGTCATCATACGTATATAGGGAAATGAATGTTATGAACATGTTCTTTCCTGTCTGTATTTTCCTTGGTGTACAATTTTAAAATTTTGTTGTTTGTTACTGATTTTATCTTGATGTATTTATTTATTATTTATTTTAACACATAGATATTGGTACAAGGAGGCACCAAATACATATGCGCCACACAAGTCACATTCGATATGTGTGAGGGCTGTGATATTGTCCGGGTGCCCAGACCGAAACAGGTGGTTTTCTTTGAGAGCCACACCCCGAGCCTTCGACCTGAAGGTCTGATCCATAAGGCAGTAGAGCATCGTAAGGAGATGCAGTCCCATGGAAGCCGGTGACCAACAATTGGTTCATATGCCATTTGTTCCCGCAGGATACTGGAGCCCATGTGCACCATCAGTTTGGAATCCGGTTAAAGCGCCAGACATTCGCTTTTCGTCTTCTCATTTTTGTAAACAACACCCCCGCCACGAGAAGGCAGTGAGTAGGACTTCCCTGGCAGAGGCTATATACGCGTGACCATGTGAGAGCATTTCGAGAGGGAGAGCGAACTCTCCCCACTCTCGGCCATACCAGGGCATTTGGGGGCCATTTAATCTTGAAGTCACACATTGTGTTATCTCCAATTTTTTTCAGATTTGAATATATTTCACTAAGAACCATTCTAATGTTATTATTGCGGAGTCACGTTTTATCGATCCTGATTAATTATGATGACCTATATTCACCAGTTTAAAATCACATGAAAACCTCTCATACTATGGTTGTATTCTTGACCCTTATTCTGTCATATATCCCATGATTTCTATTCAGTTTGATGACTTATTTATCTGTCAATAATCTATTTTGCCAATCATTACAAACTCTGAGGCTTGATTCTAATTCATTTTATGCATGATGAAGAACTTCTTCACAACACTGATGAGATCGAAACTTGAAAACTGCGTTCGCACTGCAAGCCCCTGATAACTTGGAGAAAATTACAGAGAACAACTATCTGTGCAATTACGTACACATAGCGCAGCTTGAAAAGTTATGCATTTTTACTCTGCTCTACAGCTGATTAAGAGGTGATCTAATTTTGATGTTCAGGAAACTAAGAAATCATTTTGGACCTAATATACTCTCTCTTTTGCTTAAAACTAGGTGAGAACAGCTAGGACATAGCAGGAGAGTTTAAAAACCAACAAGGAACAAAATCCCTATTGGTGTAAGGGTTTTGTCACCGAGTAATTGACTCTTGAGACACACTACTAGAAGTGTTTTCCGCATCTTCTGTTGGTTTATTCAAGAGAGGACTAGATACCCACAGAAACTTAGTAGTAAAAGAACTGACACAAGCCACTGACCTTCTATCTTCAGTGAGCTAATGTGAATCTTAATAAACCCATACAAATATGATTCCATCACAGCTTTTGAAAACACAATTGTCGAAAAAACTCTTTTATCTGGTATATCTGTGAAATCTCATTTGGCCAGTAACGAAAGAGCATAACAGCAGATAAATCAGTAGTCATGTAGAATGTATTGACATGTAACGGTCATCAAAAGTGTACTAAGAAGTACCTCGTAAGTACGTAGACCTTGTGAAGGCTCTTTACTCGAACACTACTAGTCAAGTCAGAGCTTATGGTGAACTGTCATCTGATTTTGCAACCTCAAGTGGTGTCCGTCAAGGTTGTCCACTATCTCCATTTCTGTTCAGTTCCACTTTAAACATACTGCGGGAGAAAACGTTCTCGTCGAGTGAATTGTCTGGTATTGAGCTCCTTCCAGGAGGTCCACTTATCGACTTATAATACGCAAATGATGTAGTCCTGTGTGGTGAGGACGCTGATAAGATGCAGAGTCTTTTGGTAGCACTGAGCAACAATACCGGAATGTTTGGGATGTACTTCTCTCTCTCTAAATGCAAGTTGTTGTTTCAGGACTGGTCTGCGTCAACACCTGAACTAAGGATAGGGAGTTTAGTAGTCGAACACGTCGACAACTTCACTTATCTTGGAAGTGTGGTCAGCCGTAATGGGTTGGTGTCTGATGAAATCTGTGCATGGATTCGAAAAGTTTGTTTGGATTTGCCAACTTACGTCACCTATTTCGAAGGTGAGATATCTGTCTGTCAATTAAAGGAGATTGATTATGAATAAAGTGGTCTTGAGTGCTGTTAGAGGTATAAAAGCGGTCATCACTTCCCGGTCGCCCACACTGTGGAAGGGTCCTTCTAGAGGTAGTTGAAAAGGAAATTGGGTTAGAGGTGGTCTTAGTGACCTGAGAGCATGATAACAGTGCCCAAGGTACAACTGCTTGAGATCGGTCACACATGACCTTTCTGTGAGTAATTTTCGTTTCAGCTCCGTACTTGTGGAGATGTGCATTTCTAGGGTCGATCTTTTCTAACCCCACCCCTCCTTGAAGGAAAGCAGTATCGCTGTTATGCTGGTTATCTGAAGGAAACACCTTACTGCTGTCACACCTCTGTACAGTCAGCAGTACGACTTCTCCCTCGGACCTTGGGTTTGTTGCTTTTACCATTAGCGCTCTTCAACCGATTTATCTGGCATGGTGGGACCTTGAGGAACGATTATTCCGGCCAGTATAGCTCGGTTGGTTCATCGCGATAGACAAGCCCGACCACTACGTCAAGGTAGCAGCAACGGTCGGGGCGAGTATACTTCACAGTAGTTAGTTCTGTTTTACCTTACGACTGCGAAACTTGGCCATTAAGAGTAGAAGATACTCGTAAGTTACTACTATTTGGTCACAGACGTCTTTGAAATATTGCTCGCATCTGCTGTGATCACCGAGTAAGTATTACTGAGGTTATACGTATGGTATTAGGGAATGATAAATCAGTTGATGAGGTTGTAAATCTTCGTCGATTGATATGTTTGGACCACGTGTTACGTATGCCTGAACATCGATTACCATGATGCGCAATGTTAACTAGTGTTAGAGACAGTTGGAAGAAAGTTAGGGGCGGCAAACCAAAACATGGCATCAGTCCTTGAAGTCAAACTTTTAGTCTTAGCCATGTTGGTGGATGCAGACTACCTGGTTGGGGTCAGTGCGACTATCGTAACCACTGGTTGGAGACTGGGTGATATGGCTCGAAATCGATCACAATGGTGTAGGTGTATACACTCTCTGTCTTTCCTTAAACTAAGAGATTAAAATCGCTTCATATCTTTCTTTCTACGAACTAATTCTTTCTTCCTGTACTATATCCTTATTGCAATCTTTCTTTTATATATTAACATCACTGAAGTAACTACTACGAATTTTGTGTTCATCTTGTTGTACTAATAAGATATGACAACTTGAACTGATGAATATATATGCCTACGTTGTAGATGACTGACTGACATTGATGTGGCAAAGAGGCATCATTGTGCCTTGAAAACGTTTATACTGTGGCCAGAAATTTCTGACAAACCATTATTTATCTACGTACCTACTTCCGCACGTGCGTTACGTTGATACAAATTAGACTTGTGTAGTGGGAGTACGTGTGTTCATATGGAGTTTGAAATGAGGATACATTTTTATCAAATAACGCATTTGCTGTCAACTATAACTCCGCCAACGACAATCAAAATTTACGTTTACAATAATTTGTGACGGTAAACCGACTTTTAATCTCCTTCCAAACAACGATTCTGTTCCTAGTAAATGTATTCTATTAAGCAGATCTAAATCTAGTCTCCTGTGTCAAAATTTTTGTTTTGTGATAGGAGGCGAAAAAACGAGACGTTTGGGATAACAGAAAATATTGTGTGAACTTCGAGAAATTTTAGATAAGCAGCAAGTCATGTTGCGTAAATGAACTGAACTAAAATTATAGTGGGACAAGTCGTTTACCCAGTCTTCCTATTTTGGGGGAAATTTGTCCATTTTTTGTTGAATTTCGGGGAAACCACAATGGAAAATTTAAGGGAGATGGCTCAAAAACACCGAGATTTTCCCGAACTTTGTGGAAAACTATCATATTTTTTACGACTTTGGGGAAAACCCCAAAATAGGGAAACTGGGTACCAAAACCACAATAATGCAATGCGAAACTCGATCATTCGGTTGGAATTGCCGCTAGAGTGAATACACCAATTAGATGAGTACATATATTCTACTAATCGAAAATTAGAAAATTCTCGGCTTAATTACTAGACTCTGAATCATTCAATTAGCTTCCAACTAACTGCAACTACCCAATCAAAAGTACCAACCCAACCAATCAACCAATTAATGAAATACAATCGTCGTTTCTATCTTACTGTATCGTTAGTGTTACGAATGAAAAGCTTTGAAACGTGCACCAACATGAGAAAATCGACTCAAGTTACCCGGCAAAGTTTGGAAGTTTAAAAAATTGCCAGTCTGAAATATACAAATTGTTGAGAAGAGTTGAACTAATTTTTTTCCCTGAAAAACATGCGAAACATTGACAGAGATTTTCATACACTGATAGATCCTTTTATTAACTTTCTATGTGCTTCATCGAGTGGTTAATTAACTGAGTTAATTAACTGTTTTGATTGTAAATTACGCATCAGAACTACTGTTCACACTTTAATTGCATCTACCCCAGTTAAAGTGATATTGTATTGAGTGTTTCGATTTTGCTTTTGTGTTTTTAAATGGTTCATATGGTTGTGGACGGAATAGAAGAAGCTTTCGCTTAACAGGCTTCCGTGTCTAGTAGCAGGGGATCACCAAATCCTCCAGGCAGGAACCATCGAAGCATACTTGGTCGACTTTTGCTTGATTTATTAAGTTAAGGTTTGAGAATCGTTTCACATATCCTGTTTTTGCCACCGTTCTAGTTGATTTTCAGGATGGCTAGATCTCATAAATGTGGACAACCATATTGCATATTTCGCGTGGAGGAAGGGATGCAATGTGATGAGTGTAATAAGCGGTTCCATAAGATGTGCACCCGATTAAGCCCCACTGCATATAAAAGGTGCTCAAAGCCCAACTCTCAATGGCTTTGTCGTTTTTGTTGCTCGAGCAAAACATTGCTTATCAAGGAAGCAATTAATCTCCTGATGTTGGCTAATAAGAAGTTTGATGAGGGTTGTACTGGCAACATTGGTACTGATGGCGAAGATTGCGTTAGTGTCGTAAATGCCTTCAAGGCGCAAGACAGACATCTAACTGTGCAACCCGCTATTAAACCGTCTACCCTGAAACAATCAATGAGTGACACGTCATTAGATATCGGTGGCCATGTTGCTACAGCAGCGACCGGTGACCCAGATAAAACAATTACTGTCACGAGTGATTCTAATGTGGATGATACAACTGATGGAATATGGATGACACGGAAACGCAGAAGAGTAGGAAAGACAGCCAAAACTAATGATTGTTTACTTGATAAGTCCTTGGTGGACTCTCAGACCACTCCGCCAACGTCCCACAGTAAAGCTTCGTCTAACATTGTGAGTCACTCGCTCGACTCCCAGGACTCTGTTACGATAAAAACTAATCGTGAGATACCAGTAGTTAAAATACAGGATCTAGCTGAATCATATCGAGCAAAAGCTGAGACTTTTTCAAACTATTTTAGCGAAGTATTCTCTACGTTTATTGTAACAAATAATTGTTCCACTCACACCGAGATACCAACCATGGAATCTGTACTGGTGACTGAGGAATCTGTCCTTCCGTTGATAACTAACCTCAAACCTGGTAAGATACCGGGCCCTGACGGGTCACATCCACGGTTGCTGTCACCTCTTGCGGACATTATTTCAAAACCGTTCGCGACACTCTTCAACATGTCCCTTTCACTCGCTCAACTCCCTAGAGATTGGAAGGACGCTATAGTCAGTGCTATATTTAAGGACGATCAGCGACAGATAGTATCTAACTACCGGCCTGTTAGTCTAACTAGCATAGTCGTTAAGCTACTTGAAAAGTTAATGCGGTTTAGGTTGCTAAGCCACATAGATTTACACAATCTGTTAGCTCCTGAGCAACATGGATTTCATAACAAGTGTTCATGCTTGACTAACTTGCTTATTGCGAGGGAGGATTGGACAGAAGCCCTAGATAACGGTCTGTCGGTCGATGTGATATTCATAGATTTTAGCAAAGCATTTGACAAGGTTTCACACGTAGGTCTTAGGCAGAAGCTCACGAGCTTCGGAATAATAGGTACTGTACATGAGTGGATAGGAAATTTCTTATGTGACCGCAGACAGAGAGTGAGGGTCAACGGATTGCTATCCGATTGAAAGCCGGTCAAAAGTGGTGTACCCCAAGGCACCATCTTAGGCCCTCTGCTCTTCTTTCTCTACGTTAATGAGTTACCGCTGTTACTTAGGTCGTCGACATTATTGTTTGCGGATGATGTGGAAATCTGGAGAACAATAAAAAGTGCGGCTGATCATCTGGATCGTCAAGCTGACTTAGACGATTTAGTGGTGGTGCTTGGAAATCAATGCTAGGAAGAGTGTACTAATGCACGTCGGTCACGGTAATAGTTACCGTTACACTATTGAGGGTAAACCTCTTCCATGCGTTCAAGATCATAAAGACTTAGGAGTAGTATTGAGTCATGATTTTAAAACAACTATGCATTGCAAAGCAGCCGCTGTCAAAGGTTTTCGAATGGGATAACACAATCCAAATCCCTGTTAGTGCAACACCCAGTTACAGTAAATGTGCAACGCATAACAGGAAAGCTAATCATAATATTTATATAAATGACCACACACTTATCATCGATAGATTCGAACTTTGCAAACCATCGCAAATATGTTTAACAGCACACAATTCTCCCCAAATTACGAAGGAGCCCAAATTAACCACAAATCTGGAAGCAAACGTCAGGAACATGTTGCCCATACATCAGGTATAAACAGTAATCTGAATTCTAAATGGCCACTTGGTCGCACACATAAACCTGATAGTTTTTTGGTCCGGCTCCCAATATGTACACTATGCCTTTATCAGATATTATATTCAGCAGCAATGGAAGACTTTTTTTGTTATTCCGCTGGCTACTCCCTCGCAACACAGCTCTTACTTTAGCCATTCCTACGAGTAATCATGGAACTACCGATTGCGATTTATACTCTAACCTGCTTCATCATGATAACTCTGAGTTTCTTATTCTTTCCTTCGATGCCCGCTCTCTGTCCAATAAAATCACTCATCTTAAAACTTTTATTCTTTGTAAATCCAACCATTGTACTTATCATGGAGACGTGGTGCAATTCATCTATATCCGATCACTCCTTAAATGTAGATAACTACGTTTTCTTTTAGAACCGATAGATGTTATGGATTAGGAGGTGGTACAATTATCTATGTCCGTTTAGATATTCAGGCTTGCAGATTTGAGGATAAATTTCTTGATACTATAGACGACTCCACTTGGGTTACTGTAAACTGTGGATCTCAAAATTATCTACGGATGGGATGCATATATAGACCACCTCATGTGGATACTAACAAACATATTTTCCATTGCTTTACACCAACCGCATACTTTTATAATCATCAGAGGTGATTTTAATCTGCCAAAAATTACATGGGGTTCGACTCCTGTGCCAGGTCGACATAACAAGCTAGTTGAAACACCAGAAATTTGTAGATGGGTACAATAGGTCCTAAAACCGACTAGGGGGAATAATATACTTGGTTTATTGTTTTTAATAAACATAGACTCTATTTCAGTTCATACTAGTCATTAGTTTTATAAGTGACCATAGAGTTGTATTGAGTATTATTCATTCTTTAAACGCCATACAATTGAAATCTAAAGCTTCAGTGATGTACCAGAACAGATATTTTAATCAATAAAGCTGGAAACGGACCGAAACTCTCATTTAATGTTTACTATGGGAAATTTATTTTACCACAAATAATGTTAACATCGAGCTTGTCAGTCTATACCACAACTTGATATATTGCCTTGACTGCACTGCTCCAGTTATTGGCCATTTGGCTTATAATGCCAATAGGTGCCAGAATACGTTTAAGACTTTTTAAAAGAAAGCTGAATGAATTAAAACGCCGCTACTACGAGACCAATGACATGTGTGCACTTCAGCGTATACTTAAATTAATCGACAGAAATGCTTCATGTAAACTCAAGTATTTTATGAATATAGAAAATAAATCCCTACGTAATAAAAGCTCAGAATTACCAACACTTCGGCTTTTTAAATCCCGTGTGAAGCCAAATTCCCTTGGCACGACTAAATTTTTCATAGTTAACAAAAGCATTGTTGACGACCCGAATACTATTCGCGAACAATTCAAAAAGCACTTCTCGCAGTGCTACAAAACTGGAACTGAAAGCTCTATCATTACGTTTCCAATTCTGACATCCATACACCTATCGAAAACTTATTTTATACCCTCCAACATCAAGCACGCCATAGCCGCCCCAAAAAGGTCTTATGGGGGTAAATCTGACGGGATCCCTTCATCATTTGTGCAATATAGAAGTAGAAAATTACCAATATTTTTTTTGAAACTTTTCAACCTATCTATGGAATATGGGACCTATCCATCTGTATGGAAAACATCTCTTATAACCCCTAGATTCAAAACAGGGTCATGTAGTGATCCTATTAACTATGGGCTAATTAATTTAAAATTCGTGCTCTCAAAAACCGTGGAAAAAAATCATTCACAAACAGCTATTACCATTTTTACTTTCGGCTAGTCTGATTAGACCATTTCAACACGAGTTTTTGACTAAACGCTCATGTTTCACATCGCACCTGGAATTTTTCAATCAAATTACCCAGGGAAGAGATGTTGGTCAGACAGTGATAATTCTTTCCTTTGGTTTTATTAAGGCTTTCGACAATGTCTAAAACTCTTTTCATTTTGCATACGGAATCCTCTTTTATCTAGGCTCAAATCTTTTTTAGAAGAACGTAGCCAAATCGTTCGCATTGGATCTTGCTACTCTAAACTTGTGTATGTAATCCGTGGGGTTATACAGGGAAGTGTGGTTGGTCCATTACTCTTTCTTCTTTTTATCAATGACACGTGTTCTCTCTTTCTGTATTGTAAACCTTTCCTTTTTGCCGATGACGTGAAAGTAGTTTATTCATTCTCTTCTCCCACCAAAGAAAGCTATATTTCAGCGGTAATCCAAGAGACAATAAACAAGTTATACGAATGGACTGTTTTGTGGAATTTACCACGTAATGTTGACAAAAGTGGATTTATTCACATTGGCTGCTGCCTTAACTAAGATCTGACTATACACAAACATACACTCAAACCTCCCAACACTGTTTGTGACGTAGGTTTAAGATATAGCGACAGTCTGAACTTTTCTGAGCACAGTGCATCTCAAGTATCAAAAGCTAGAAAGCTCATC